TCAGAAACGAATTTTGTTTTTATGTGATTATGGTAGTGATATTTGATGAGAAGTTGGTGACTGATCATGGGAAGTTGGATCATATGATGTGAAATGGAACGGTAAATTTAGGTTAGGATATAGTTAATTTCTTCAGAAACGAATTTTGTTTTTATGTGATTATGGTAGTGATATTTGATGAGAAGTTGGTGACTGATCATGGGAAGTTGGATCATATGATGTGAAATGGAACGGTAAATTTAGGTTAGGATATAGTTAATTTCTTCAGAAACGAATTTTGTTTTTATGTGATTATGGTAGTGATATTTGATGAGAAGTTGGTGACTGATCATGGGAAATTGGATTATCGATAAGGAATGGAACGGTGAATTTAGGTTATGATATAGTTAACCTTTTCAAGGACGAATTTCTTTTAATATTATTATGACAGTGATATTCGACGAGAAGTTGATAGTTGATCATGGCAAGTTGGATTATTGATAAGAAATGAAACGGTCAATTTAGGTTAGGGTATAGTCAATCTCTTGAGAGACGAATTTTGTTTTTAGGTGGTTATGGCAGTGATATTTGATGAGAAGTTTGGATCATATGATGTGAAATGGAACGGTAAATTTAGGTTAGGATATAGTTAATCTGTTGAGAGACGAATTTTGTTTTTGTGATTATGGTAGTGATATTGGATGAGAAATTGGTGGTTGATCATAAGAAGTTGTGTCATACTATATGAAGTGGACGGTAAATTTAGGTTAGGATGTAGTAAGCTAGTAACTATGATGTCAAAGGATTGATTATGGCAGTGATGTTCAACGAGGTCGTTCTTTTTATTGTCAAAGGATTCTGTGGTGTGTAGTTCTTCAACTGATCCCAATTTTCTTTTCCCTTATAGTAGTCATAATTTTTATAAAACTAAACGTGTACACATGTGTCGGTATTCCTGAAGAGGCTACTGGGAGATGGAAGAGCTTCTAGTGTCGAATATTAGAATACTCGAATACCATACAATTCATGGCATATTTCTAATTTAATTTCGAGATTTTAACCAATATCTGGAATTCTAGGTTAATAAATTCCATCGTAATCTCGAATAATAAAATCCCATCAATTAATCTTCCGGTTTCATATGATAATATCGCTAACGTTAAATATGTATTCTGATCTCCAAGGCAAGCTATTTTAGCACGTCAATACGTAAATCAGAGAGCTGTATAATTTTTGGGTATCGATTTAACACCACCATCTCTGCGAAACATAAACACGGATAATAATTAAAGCGAAATTGGGAAAATAAATAGGTACATATAAATACGTATAATTTCCATCCTTCTTGAACAAAAATCAGCGTTAATTTTCCAGGAGAACGAACAAAAACTCGTAAACCAATGATTCCAAGCCACATTGACGATTCAAATGCTACACCATACCTAATAATAATATATATCGGGTGTCATTATTTAATTATAGAAGTACATATAAATAAATAAGTGTTTATTTATTTATATATTATTATATAGGTGCATATAAATAAATAAGGTAAATACATGTAATTTCCATCCTTCTCGAACAAAAATTCGTAAACCAATGATTCCAAACCACATTGATGATTCAAATGCTACACCATACGAAATAATAACATACATGGGGTGTCATTATTTCCTAATTCATTTTCCAAGACGAAACCTATTACCCCAACTACAGAACGTTCGATAACGAATTGGAAAAGTTTTAAGAAACGCGACGCTCATCGCGCCTGCGCTCGCGATAAACGGAGCGGAATGAAGCGACCCAGAGGAAAGAAAAAAGCTCAAAGAGAAAAAAAAAAAGGGTGGTCTGCAGTGGCAGTCGGTTGAAATGGGAAAACGTGGACGCACAGGGTGCACGGTCCGAGCGATAAACGGCGGCCATAATTTTTTCCCCCCTCGACCCCTGCGTCCTCGCGACACAACGCGCCCGCATGATTACGCGCCGGCCGGTCGGTAACACCCAGAGATTCGTCGTGGACCGAAGTGTAATTCGTTGAAAGAGCCTATTGTGAATAAATTGAGCCGGAGCAAGGATTGGGCAGCGGTCAGAGGCGATGTTCGACGCGGTGTCCTCTCGCCATCGCGTGGTCCGTTTTGTGCGCATGAAATTCCCACCGCGATCCTCTCGTCCTCTATCCCCCTTGACACCCAATTTATCAATCCAACGTTGAACAACCAACTGTCACGAAGGGCCCGATCAGAGGTGCGACCCGAGCAGCCATTGTGTCCCCTCTTCATCCCCGGACCGATCTCTCGCTCACGATCGTTCCTGTTTTCTGCCAACGTCTCGACCGTAATTGGGCCTGATAATTAGACCAGAGCCCCTGGAACGTGTCGTTGCGCTTGTGTATCCGGCGAACGCTCGTTTCCGTTCTAACTAACTGCTTTTATCGTTCGCACGAGCGTGCCCGCGCTCGTTGTGGCCGATCGCTTTATTCCCTGCTCCGGTTCCCGCTCGCACGACCATAAACCGCGCGGATCGTTATCGCGTCGTATTGTTCAGAGCCGGGAAACTTTCGACGGAATTAATCGGCGACACGCGCGTTGGCCTCGTTATTAATCGACGAGAGTGGGCCCCTGTCGAGCCTCGGTATCGGCCAGCGATCGAATCCGCTGGTCGAGGAGCAAACACGCCGAGCTGAACCGAACGCTGTAACTGGAATCGTCGCGCTACAGTAATTCGCGGTCAACGTCCTCGCGGCTCGGTCGCGCAGATAAGGTTAATCTGCGGTTTTTCGAATCTCCTAGCAGGAGGATCGAACGGTTTACGAGGCTGATGATAGAACAATGCCGAAGCAACGCCGAGGAATATGGCGGAGGCTCTTCAACGGTCAACCCTTCGGCCGGAAGTCGCCGCGCGCCGGAAGTTGGCCAGGTTTAGGCGAACGCTGTGTGCGACCTATCGCGACCATCTACACGCGTTCGCCCTTCGGCCTCTCTGAATGTATAAACGCGAGTCGCCGCGTTACGATGGGAATGACGCGTGCTCGAGGAAGGGGACCGACCGGGGCCTTATCTGGGTGGATCGAAAATTCCGATTGGGTCACTGGAATTGCTGTAGCCATTTGAATTTGTATAGATTGTTGAAAATGATTTTGGATCGTATCGAAATTTTCGAGTAATATCCATGCCAATACGCGTAAAGGTATTCAAGATGCTGTCAACTCGGTCTACGTTGGTTCCCCAGTCTAAATCGCAATTGCAGGCGACTAGCTGGCGCAGTTATGACGCAATCGTGACGACATCGGTATTTCATTCATCCTCGGATGAAAAGCCCACGATCGAAGAAAGCTTGACAGGCATTTAACGCGAATAAACCGTGCCTGCCTGGCCTGCAAATAGAATTAACGAGCGTTGGAACGATAAGTGACGTCGTGGCTGTATCTGATTCGATTAGGAAGTATATTTCGTCGTGTACCCGTGGCGGACGAACGGTGTCGTTGAACTGGAACCAAGCCGCTGTCACGTGAAAAGAAATCGGCCGACGATCGTTCCTCTACTCGCTGTCGATTAAACACACCCGGTATACATTGCGATGCGTGTCACGCCTACGCGTGTCGCGTCAGGCGTTTGTCGGTACGACGGAAATTACTTTCAATGATACGAAACGTAGTTGGCTTGGCAGTCGGTGGACAGAGGAAGCCTGTACTCGGGTGACGACGGGAGAAGATCGGATCGCGGATCAACGGGATATCTCGATCGACATATACAAGGTTAGGAACGAGAGGTTTCGTACGGTTTCATCGATAAAACACACGCCTAACGGGCCGAGAAATTTCGCGGAGCTAAACGTTACGTAGAACTGGTTATCCTTGCGTTTGCACGCGGTCTCGGATCGGAGTTGAGATAACCGATAAACGGCATGCCAGTTCGCAGTCGTGAAGCGTAGCGCGCCGATACTTAACCCAGCCTATCAGCCTCCGAAATCGAGACCTACGATCCCCTTTCGACACGGCCCATCGACGCCTTCCGGATTAGGCCCCGCGGAAAACCCTAGCCGCTGTCAATCCGCGTTCTCGAGTTGCCTCGACGCGGTGTAGTCGAATTTCGTTTCGCCGTTGGGCGCGTCCAGTCCGCCATTTTTATCTCCATAACTGGATTTTCGAGTGGACGGTTCTGATCGCCGATAGCGAACGCCAGCAGGGGAACCCCGGGCCAGCGACAATGGCAATTTGTTATCCGGTTCGCAGGAACGGCGCGTCCGTTCTAACTCGATTGCAAGTTTCTCGCGGAAGTTAGAGCGCGAGAGAGAGGTCGAGCGTCGCGACGCGATGCACGGCTAATACCCGGTCCCCGCTGCGGATCGGTTGGACTGCATCCAGCCGAGCGGAGCCGACAACGGGCACGGCAAGTGGAACTCCGGATATGTATAATGCGCCGAAACGTGGAAGACGCCTGTACAGAGACCGTTCTAGCTCGAGTTTCCCATGTGCCACTGTGCGATTCCCGCCATATTCACGGCCCGATGATTTATATGCTAATTCCACCGCTGGAACACGATCTCGGGCTACCTCGTCCCTGCCAACTTTCACCGTCCAGAGACGCTGGACTGGAGAACGTTCGCCTTGGACTCGTCGGTCAGCGAATCTTTCCTATGTTCCGAGCCAGTCTGGAAAAAATCGAGCCATCTCTAGCTCGCTCGCGAAAGGATATACCAGGTGATCTAGATAGGCAACGACGAGGAGAAAGGCTTTGGCAGAGTTTTGACACTACGGCGTCGGGAAAACGTACTAGGGCATTCGGCTAGGCCGTGGCACTGCTGGCAAGATCCATTTTTAGATCACGCGAGAGATGCCACGAGTTATAACGCGCAGCGTGAAGCTGGAAAGCGAGAGTTAGTCATCGTGCGCGCATTTGCGTCGCACGTTTCCAGCGTCGTTATCATGGCGCTGGCGAGTTGCAGCGACAAAGAATAGCCACGGAGTGGTGGTTTGACAGGAGGTCGGGTTAGTCGCGAGTGTTATCGTTTGTTTCATTCACCTGGTCGTCGGAGAAGACGCACTTGACGTTAATCCAACGGTGCGCCTTCACGGTGCAGTTGCATCCGTCCATGGAGCATATCCCTGGCGTGGTGGCACTGTGGACGTTCGCAGGCAGAGATACCAGACACCACAAAAACACCGACCATACGATCGCACGATCACACTTTAGCCCGTCCAGGGCGCTGAACACTCTCCTTCTGCCGCTCATCTTCTCCATCCACGATCCTCCAACGGTGCTCCACGATCTCGATCGATCGCCCCTTCGATTTTCTCGCGCCGAGATCTCTTCCTCACATCGTTCACAGCCGCACACCGTTACTCGGACGCGAGACACACTTTCATCGATCTGGATCTCGCCGCGATCCCTCTGATGAGCCTCACATCTGTTCGATCCGAATCCGATCGATCGGCTGGAAACTGGCAGCTTCGACTGGAACAAAGAGCGCGATCCAAGCGAGATCTCGAAGCTGGCGAGCTTATCGATCGCAGGCCTCTCCCGTCGTTATCCTTCTGCGAACCGGATTTCTGTGGGAACGGCCGCGAGTCGGGAACGCGTTCGAGGACAGAGGAGACGAGAAGTGGACGGAAGACTGCTCGAGCGGGCAGCCGCCGCGAGCTAGTGGAAACACGCGCGCGGACGACTTGTTTCCGAAGAGGTGGGGCAACTAGAAGCCAGCTGACGCGATCATGACGGAGGTTGCTTTGAAACTGTGGTCGGTGGCATGCACGATCGGTGTCTCCTCCCCACCAAGAACCGTGTTCCTTGCCTTGCTTCGCTCTCACGTTACTCTCCCTCTTCGGCCTTTTAAAAGATAAAAGCCAGCCACGAAGCGCGTTCGAGGCCGGAGGGGCGAGCCGTGTTCGACACCGGTTCGACGAGGCGAGTCCTGTCCGGGACGTGACGGAAGAGAAGGGCTGCTAGGGTCGGGACACCGGTTTTCGTGCTGCAGGTCGCAGGGTCGTCGCGCTTCGTCCCTTCCAAGGGTTGACCTTGACCAAGTTACCCAGCCCAACAGCTCTGTCCATCGCGAATCGCGGATCCTCGTCAGCGTGCTTTACGTAACGCTTGTTTGTATGCGGTTTGCCTGGTTACGCTCGTGGCACAGCCACTGTACCTGTTGACGCGCCATACCTACCAGTTGTCATACTTCCTCCTTCTTCGGTTACCGTGCACCTTGTGCGGTTGTCTGTGCGTTATTTTCGTCGGTTTCCAAACACCGAGTATTTCACCATCTTTCCGGAGAGACCCGTAATCCGTAACCCAACTCCGATCCACAGGTCGAAGGACGAAGTAGCTGGCTGTCTTTGCGAGCCTAAGCCCGAAACCTAATCCGTGGTTAGCCCACTGTAAAGACGAAACAGGGTCCTGCCACGAAGCGTCCGTTCGTAGCCACGTCGTGGTTCATGGTAGACGGCGTTTCCCTAAAACGCCGTGCCATCCGTGGCTCTCGGCTTTATGAACAGAAGGCCCGGCCATTTAATTTCCCATGAGAAATTGCGCGTGTCCGTGCAACTCGCCGCTCGTTGGCGTCCCGTCGTGTCCGCGTCACACATGCGAAACGTCCATTCATTCGTCTCTTCTCGAACCAGGAAGCACCTGACGCCGGCCGAAGTGGCCATTTCCGAAATGACCACGTGCTGACCATACGTCACATCGGGGCCGACTTTAAAGCCGCCCTCCCAATTTCCACCATCCTCCTCGTCGCTCCCAGCTCTTCGATTTCGCTTCATGTTCCTTCCATCGATCTTCTTCCGTCTCGCATTACTCGCCGTGGATCGGTGAAACGAGACCGATGTCAAGGATATTCCACGGTCCCGGTGTCAGCCGACGCGTATTCACAGTTATGACGGATGAATTCTCGCCGATGTTACACCTTCTCTGATCCTTGGATCGCGGTGGACGCGGGATTGTTTCAATAAAAATTGCAGTCCTTGCTTCACGAAGCCTATTGCGTTCAATCTCTGCGTGATCTAGGGTCTGACCTCTCTGTCTCGCGAATCGCGAGCGGGCCCAAGTTCTTCGTGCCCACTAGGGATGCACAGGGTAGCCGCGAATGAGTTGAAAATATGGAATTGTGGTTGGAGGGAACGTAATTTCCTCGGCGAGCCAGGTCTCGATTAAATACACACCGAGTCCTGCCTCGATACCGGTTTGGCAGCATGTTGCTTTGCGAGTGCGAGGCTCTCGAAGAAGTGGTTCTCGCGGCTCGTTGACGACCGAATCGGTGATTGCGTATAGGTAGCGGACGCATTGCTGCAGGCCAGTCACGCTGGACGGAATTGCGACGTGATTGTGCCTTATTAGGGATGAGCCCGGCGATGACTCGCTGGGGGAAGCAGCGATTGTCTGGCTGACAGAGGAGCATCGTCCTCTGCTCGTGATCTACCCAGACGAGGCTCGCGAAACGGAGCACCAATTAGGGGCATCGCCACTCCGAGACTCGGTCTAACGAGATGGCTACCTGTCACGATCGTGACCGCGTTCAGGACCGCTTTTTGACCTACAAACACCTCCGTGGTCTGTCAGATTTCACGGTTCCTATCTCGTAAATGTAAGAAAATCGCGGAAAAACGGATGACCGCGTCTTTGTACTCGTTATAAGACGATTGAGAGTGAAAAGTATTGACAGCGTACAGACTCCACGCGTGTAGAACAGTCAAACCCAGGTCGTAAAACACAAAGTAAGAGACTGATGTGTTAAGAATACAGATTCTGAGACAAGATACTTTCTTTAATTTTAACCCTAGTCCATTTCATTCCCCGAATCACATCTCTTCCATAAACAACGTAGAGTCAAGGTTGAAAGGATTCAGATCTCACGAACGTGGATTAACCCGATTTCTCGTCGAGTCTTGATATCTTATGACAGAGTGTAGCTTGTCAAGTAATCGAAGAATCTTCTTTGTTCACAGTGGCCACTCGAACGAACGACTGTTTCTGCGAGACTTCGTGTCTTGCTCAGCTGGTACCAGCGGAGGTCGTTTAGCAAGATGGTTACAGCCAGACAGTTTCGTGGATCCCTCGAAATGCGAGGCACTTTACTCGAAGGACGAAGTGAAGTGCGGATGCCCTGCCATCGTTACTATACTCACCAGAGACCAGTACGGAGACGTCGTTCACGTACCCAATTTGAAGGTATAATCACAATTATTCTCCCCTCTGACGCGAATCGCTTCTCTAATTTTCGCTGCACCGCGATAGCCGCGGAGATGATGTTTCGCGTTGAATATAGTTAGTTGAGTATGTTTGCGATTTTCAAGGTGGACGTGAAAGCAGTGCCCATAGACAAGAAGGAGGTGGGAGATACCGAACGAGTTTCTCAGCCAGATCCGATGACCTTTGGCGGCCACCCTCAACCACCCCTGGACGTTCCGTACGAGGTCACGATCAACAACAAGACCTGCTTCTACGCGATCACCATCATGAAGGCTTATCAGAACTACTCGTTCGAGGAGTTGAGGTTTATGTCACCGTCTATAAAAAGAACAAGCGAAAGCATGCTAGTTAGACCCAACGGCGATGGCAGGTATAGCGCAACCTGGACCCCATCCTCGGTCGGGTGGTATTCGTTTATGATCACGGTGGATGGGTACAACATGGAAGACGTGAGTATAGTCATGGATTAAATGCTAGTTTATTAAGAAGTCGGATTTATGATCGGTTTTGTAACACCTGTTTTCCCCTCAGAAATACCAAGTGGAAGTAAAGGAGTCGCCTCAAGGTATGCAACCACCCTCGCAAAACGCCGTGAAGAAACCGCAACATCAACCGAGCAGACTGAGAAAATTCGTGGCAAAGAATAGCGCGGGATTGAGGATCAGAGCGCATCCGTCTCTTCAGAGCGAGCAAATTGGTGTCGTTTTGGTTAATGACACGATAGCCTTCATAGACGAAGTATGCGGCTCTATTTCCTTTGACGTACTCGGATCTTTATTGAAATGTCCTTTCTCTTTTATCTTGTCGCTGTTCTATTTTCGTAGATTCATAACGACGATGGTGTTTGGCTACGGCTGAACGCGGATATGATAAAGGCGTACTGTAGCAGCAATCATCTGGAGGCTTGGTGTTTGCAGTACAATCTGCCCTTGGCAAAGACTTTCCTGTTTCCCGTCGAGGAACCCAAATCGATTTTGGATCAAGTGATCAAGGAGACCATTTTGCGAAAAAGGCCCGAAGTAGTCGACGAGTATGCGAATCTGCGAGTATCTGTCTGTCGCGTCTCGTTTCCGGTTTCGTAACGTGATTGTTCGTTTCAGTAAAAGGAAGACGGTGACGTTCGATGGTAGCAGAAGCATGGTTGTCGTGAAATGCGGTGCCTCCGGTCACAATATTAGGAATAGACCAGGATTGAGCGCAGCACCGGTAGGGAAACTAGCTCTTGGAAACACGGTGACCATTCAGGAATACGTAAGTCTCGGTATCGTTGTAGTAACGAGATAGGTATGGCATAAATGCTTGACCAAACGATGCTTGCTTCAGTTTGTCAACGGCGAGGGTACTTGGGTACGGATGGACGACGAATCGATGTCAAAGTATTGCTTCCGTAAAAGTCGAGCTACCGAGGGTGAAGCCTGGTCCCTTGCCGTGAGTAAACATGGCGTCACTTACATGAAGATCGAGCAGGACCTCGAGAACGACCCAACGGAGAAGAAACCTGTCGTGCCAGATCCGTCCGATTCACCTAATCACAAAGGTTTCGATTTCTCTGTGCCTTCCGTGAGTCATGAGGGCTTCAATTTCACCGCTCAAAATTTCACACCAGGTACAGCAGAATCTGGAGAGGGTAGTAATACAAATCCATTCGTTTTTGGCTCATACAATCAACATGATTCACCAGGTATCATTGCGTAAGAGCAATGTATATTTGCGGACGTAATACGTTACACTATTTATTTCTCGTTGTATACTTTAGGAAGCGATAGGTTTACGTCAGAGAAGGCCGACGTCTCACCCAAGTTTTCCAAGCCGCATTTCAAAGAGAGGGTGGTGAAAGAAAGGGAAAGAGAAGGGGGCGGTGGGAAACTGAGCGTCCTACAGAAATGGTTACGGGGCGACGACAAGTGTCACGGAGAGAAACGGAGCTCTCCTGGCAGGTGAGTGAAAAGAAACGAGTGACAAGGCGATGCGCAGGCGGTTTAGTTTCATTATATAGTTTCGGAATTTGTAGAGACTTTTCCGAATTCGTCGGAGTGTCCGTAAAGGAGCTCGTGAAAGCGATAGGAGAGAGTCGAGCGAACGGTAACGGACCGACGCCACCTGAAACGCCGAGGAGATTATCGAGAAGTTCCTCGCCGAAGAATCCCCAAGGTGGGTCACCAAGATTTCACAGCCCGTCCTCTAGCCCGGTTCCGATACCCGGTACGTATGCGCCATTTGCCCCGATTTAAACAAACCTCTGCTATACTATACGACAGATCTACTATTTATTTACATCTACTATCTCTCTTTTTAACTTGTGATCTCATTGTTAATCTCATACATTCACGTGTGTGTCTTACTTCACACTTTTGGCACCGTAACTGGTCTGAGGAGGGAATCATTTCAGAAGCTGAGAGACCCGATACTGATACTTGTAAGATTGCGTATAGCGTCCCGCAGATGTATTTATTCCACTTCGTGAGAAGGATAATAATTAGAACGAACCATTAAGTTTGAATAAGTCACACCTAGCCGATTAATACTATCTTAGTTGATGAACGAACTTAGGTTATTTATATAAACAGACATTTGTCAGATTAGTTATAACAAAATAGTAATGTTGCTCTTAGCTGGGTCCAGTCGGCAGCCAGTTGGTTCTGGTAATTGCCTCTTCCCTCCTGCTGCTCATGCACCAGGTACTCGCTCCTTTCCTACTCGACATAACCCTCAGTCTGTACAGTTAAAGATAGTGTATAGTGTTTAATGTTGTTCGGTATACGTGTATTACTTGGAACTACACCGATTTTACTATCCTTGAAGAAACATAATAATAGCACTGTAGACTTCTTTTCTTGTTGATGTACGAACATTATGCGATCCAAATGCATGCAGATTACAGTACTCATTGTTCAAAATAAACAGTCAGTTGTTGCACGCACGAATACACTTTTACCCCCCTTCTCGAGATAGAGAACCAAATAATGCACATAAGTATACACTGCGAAACTCTAGTTTAGTCATAAATCATAACACGTTACATATGAATTCTACAACTAATCCAAAATTATCAGGTGGGAGAAGTTTGATAGGAGGGGGAGATAGTATCAGCAGCAGCCCTGTGCTCTGTGGCTCCCCCCGAAGTGTCGGCCTCTCCCCGTTAGGTAAGAATAACAACACACATTAATACTCTCTAACTCTACACTAACATAAATATTGTTAAATGATTACTTCTCGAATCACAGTTGCATAATACGTTATTCGATAAATTCATTGGAATTTCAACTATTTCAGTCACTCACGAGAAAGTCGCACGAAATTACATTGCACGAAGTTCATGCGAATGTTACATAAAATCTGTTACATTTTTTTATATTCACGATTCATGAAAGCAAGGTGAGATGACGATATCCTTGCTCGAGAGAAAAGAGTTATTATTAGCTGTAAGCCTTTGGGAAAAGCTGCAACTGCTGTCTACGAACGTTTCATTTTTCTTTTTCAAGTTTCTGGTGGAATGATAGACAGCATGACGTCGCAACGTCGGGGTTCAACGCAAAGCGATACAAGTGCCTTGGTCAGTAGTCTAACGAGGGATCCTTCGCAATCTCCAAGTGCCGTGAGCACAACTGCCAATACTCGCGACCTCTCTCCAAGCCCAAGTTGTAGTTCTTTACATATGAGATCCGAGGGTAGTATAGCCAGCCCACCCGATACTCCGAAACCAGAATGCGGGGTAAGTTATCAGGTTTACTTTTAACAAAAGAGTCTTGCAAAGTCAGATGACTTATGGTTCACTTTCGTTTCAGGATTCTCAAGAAAGTCCGAGGAAAGTTTCTCAAGCACAGACACAGACGAGTCCCGAGAACGCGACCACAGCTATGAAAGGACATTTCAGTATCGGTTCTACTGGCCCTAAAGAGACGACAAAGTTAACTCGGAGGGATCATAGTAAAATAGTGAAAACCAGGACGAAATGTACCATGTCTCCAACTAGTACTCAACAAAGTACGAATCCAAGTCGAACACTGAACCTGAGCAAAGATAAAGTGAAAGAAGCCATTAGTCCATCTGTGGCTGAGTGTTTAAGAGCCGTGTTTGCAGCGTTCCTATGGCACGAAGGGATCGTGCACGATGCAATGGCTGGCGCTAGTTTCCTTAAGTTCCATCCTAGCTTACCAAAGCAGGGTGCACTTGTTGTTACCAGACAAACAGTGATACAATCGACAGATAAACAGAAACAAGAGCAGAAGGCCAGGCAGAGACATTCCGTGGAAGTGATCAACGCTGGAAACTATCTGTACATTCAACCGAGCACAGTAGAGGCTCTAACGCGGTCTGCTGCGAATGCTAACGCGAATAGGAATCGGAAGAAACAGAAAACGGTTATTAAGGAAGATGTTCAGGAAAATGGGAAATTGGATTCTTTACCAGAGTTTCAAACGGTTACGGTGTTGCCACCGGCATTGAAAAGTTTGGTATTCTTATGGGAAGAATTAAGTACTAATTGTCTGCAAACAATAGAAGAACGGTCTGTGTTACCGAGCCCAATATCACAGATGCAGACGATGAGATTAGGCAAACGACCAGAGAAGCGGCTTCGTGAAGTTAAACTCAAGGAACGGGAAAAGAAAAGTAGTAGAAAGAAAAAAGACTGGACACCAGTTGGGAGAGGGAACGGAGCTGATGCAGTAGGAGGTATAGAACGGGAAACTATTTGTGAATTGTGCGGTTTAATGTTTCCGCATCCAGTGACATATCACATGAAAATGATGCATCCGGGTTGCGGGTGGCATGCAGAAGGGAAAGGCTATAATAGCGGTGGAAACTATTGTACAGGTTGGGCAGGAAATTGCGGCGATGGTGGAGTTGGTGGAAATTCGTGGTATCTCATCTGTGATACGTGTCGTGACAAATATCTACGAGCTCGGAAGCTCAAGCTCGCGAAAAAGTTCTTGACGGGAATGACGAAAAAGAAAAACGGTTCTAGCAAGATCGTGTCACCGCTTAGTAGTCCTAGTGGGAACGAAACACATATAGTTATGAAAAACAATGCTATGTTTCTCTTAGACTTGGTTAGTGCATCTGGATTGAACATTCCAAAACAGCAAAGACGACCTTCGCAAACATTGTCGTCTGTGGCAGAAAATTACAGCCCTCCAGAAGCTGCAGGACCATTTCCACCAACTGGACCATTCCAATGCTTACAAGCTTTAGGCGTTCATCATTCGCAGAGTCACGATGAAAGATATTACGAGGAGACATTAAGACGGCAAAATGGACAGCAAACCGTATACGAGGGGAGTAGTGTTATGGCTACCACTACGAACGGCAGAGTAAGAAATTTGTATTCTTTTCTTTTCCTCGCTTAACTTTATTTAATAACGCATTTCATTATATAGCCTTTATCGGAATGTCCTGTGAGCGATAGCGATAGTGAAAGCGGTAAGGGCCGTGGAATATTTCATCGATCCGTATCAATGTCTACTGGTGCTCCTTGGACTAGAAATTCAAACGACGGTAGAGTTGTCATGATGAGAAAACGAAACAATAGTAGTAGCGAAATGAATACAGGTATGTAAACGAGTAAGCAGTAACCACAGTTAAGATCAGAGTTTTGAAATATCTTATTCTTTCATTGCAGATGCCGGCTCATCTCTTCTATGTTACCCGTCTGCCGCACTGCAAAAATTAGTACCATCGATGAATCAATCAGCAATTGTTTCCACGAGTCAGGAAGAAGTTACGAATAACGATAGAATAGAAATTCTCATGAGGCCTGTGATGTTATTTGTCCTACAGCAACATAATCTGCAACATTTGCAACTCGCAATGAAGCAAGCATTAAGACGCGCTGCTTGTAGAGTTTATGCTATGCAAGCATTAAACTGGTTACTAAGGAGTGTAACGCAACCTATTTGTCTCCACGATTTATTATGGTGGTTCGTTGCATCCTTAACACCCACCGTACCACCAGACATTCCAGACTCAAATGACGAAGATAATAAAACTGATAAGAAGGATGATCATGTAAGTTTATTGATTTAAAATTGATAGAACAATTTGTTTGTAGGACTCGATCGTAATTATCCTTAACAAACCCACGGTGAGCTTACATTGTTTAATATTACTAGTATCAACCACTTGATTTTGTCAAGTCAAGTCTCGACTGCGCATCATCTGCTGCGATCTTTGCAAACTCAATTTTATTTTACCTTATTAGAGCATTATATTTTTTAGGAAATGGTCGGCGTATGTGAACATCCTCTAAGTGATCTCGTTATAGCAGGTGAATCTGTTAATCCGTTACCAACCGTTTTCCATACTTTGTTGCAAACTATAGCAGATTTGATGCTTCTACCACCTCCTGGTACGTTACTTGTAATGTGATATTTCCTGTGCGAAGTAAGAAATTTTTACAAATTAATTTTTAGGTTCTCCTTTGCAACAAGCTGCTATTCGATGTTGGGGCATTAAATTCACACCCGCGGATCATATGTTTCTTCACAGAAGTCATGTTTTTAGCAACATCAGTAAAATACTTTCCAGATCCGATGAAGAAGAAGATATGACAATGAGTATGCATGAAAGTCACCAATCAACTCATTCTCAACAAGTTAATAGCTGTGTGGAAGTTCTAAAAGACTTAACGTGTGGTGTAAAAATTAAAGCTTCGAGTAGACAAGCTATGATAGGTAGCTTGACTGATAATTCAACAGAAACTTTTTGGGAGTCCGGTGACGAAGATCGAAACAAAACTAAGACGATTACTATAATTTGTAGTGCTCATTCTGTTCCTCGAATGGTTTATATCCACATTGACAATTGCCGTGACTTAACGGTAAGTTCTCTAATAAGCTTCAAGTGTTTTACGATGTCTTCATACTGATTATACTAATGTTACAGCACAAAGTATCCAGTGTTACGTTTCAGTCGGGTAATAATGTAGATGAAATGGTCAAATTAAGAACAGTAGAAGTCGAAAGTCGATCTGCTGGTTGGATTAACTGTCCCGTTACTGGTAACATCATATGATATATTATTAATTATGATGATTATTATGAAATTGTCATTTTTGTATTTCTTGCAGAACCACGTCATGTTATCGTCGGCCTTAAATTAAAGGGTCCAGACAATTCCTTGCGAATTAGACAAATACGAATCTTAGGCGAAGTTGAAGGAGAATCATTAAAAATTGGGAAACAATTGAATGCACAAACAATTCAACAGAGAAATTGTGAAGCAGAAACGTTAAAAGTGTTTCGCTTAATTACCTCCCAAGTACATTGATTATATATCTTTCTTATTATAATTTATACGTTTTTGGTAACTATTTTCTGTTTGTTAGGTATTTGGTAAACTCATCCAAGGTGATCAACAACAGCAACAAACAGACAATACAGAAGGAACTAACGAAGACTTAGAGGATAGTAACGATTTGCGAGAACACATGGTTGGAATTTTGTTTAGTAGAAATAACTTAACGCATTTGCAAAAACAAGTGTGTTCACATATTGTTAAAGCTATCCAAAAAGAAACTATTCGTTTAAGAGAAGAATGGGAGGCACTATTATGTTCTCCAACTCCTGCTAATAGTTTATTGAGTGATAACAGCGACTTGCCTAAAGCTGCGGATACATATTGCTTCGAAATGTTATCCATGGTACTAGCTTTAAGTGGTAGTTCAGTAGGACAGTATTATCTGTCACATCAATCTGAATTGTTGAAAGATTTATTGAGTTTGTTGCATACTGGTTCAGCACGCGTACAACGTCAAGTATGTGTTTAAAATTTTTTGAACGCAGTGTTCGTATCTAAATTATGATATAATATTTTTAATCAATTAGGTAACATCTTTATTGAAGAGAATTTTACCGGAAATTAAGCCAGAGGTGTTAGCCAATGTTATCAGCGTCGAACGATTACCACCTACAGATTTTAGTATTGTATCTGCAGCAAATAACGGTTTTCCTCATAATGCCGAATTTAATGAACATTCTGCAGGAATTCTCGATGTTTTCCTAAGTTGCATAGCTAAGGCACTAACTGTTCAAGTTAAAGTAAAAGGAAAAGAAAATAACGGAAAGGCCTTGCAAACTATTTCACTAGCTACTAGTATTCATCCAAAAAGTCAAGTTGGAGCGAGGTGGTGGTTGAGAGGTTGTATGACTCGAAAATTAGCTGAAGTAATAATTCAGCTTTTAAAAGACATGGCATCGGTATGTATTAGTTGATTTGAAATTGAGATATTTAATTGCTTAATTATTATTTTTGTGAATATTAGGGCAAATTATCTGAAGCGTGGGCAGCTGTGACTAAAGCAGCTATTGCGGAAAATATTTTAAATCTGACGCGATTAGATGAAAAGAGCCGTGATCCGACCGAATGCCTCAAAACCCCAACTTTATGGCTTGCCCTTTCTTCTTTGTGCGTATTAGATTCCGATCATGTTGAAAGATTATCTTCTGGACAATGGAGCGGTACCGAGGGACAGCCACCACCTCCTAGAGTAAGATTATTAAAATGTTTTTGCACAAGTTTGTTACATATATTTTTATACACTCATTGTTGTATATTTTGTTTCTTCAGCCAACATGTAGTAATCACGATGATGGTGAAACAACAGCAATTATTCAGTGTAACACTTGTGGAAATTTATGTGCAGAATGTGACAGAATATTGCATTTACATAGAAGAACACGAATGCATACAAGGCAAGTTTGTAAAGAGGAAGAGGAAGCGATACGGGTAGATCTTCATGAAGGTTGTGGTCGAACAAAATTGTTTTGGGTTTTGGCTCTTGCCGATAGTAGAACATTAAAAGCTTTGGTAGAATTTCGTGACGGTTCACCAAGAAAACCTGTTGGTGCTACATCCGGAATTTGCAGATTTTGCGGTACTACTGGAAACACAGGTTTGCTAGCGGTAGGAAATATTTGTGCAGATCATGATTGTCAAGAACATGGTAAAAATGCGTGCAGTAAAGTACATCTATGTGGGCATATATGTGGAGGTGTTCGAAATGAGAATACCTGCCTACCCTGTCTTCATAGATGTCTACCAGGGAGTGATCTGAAGCAAGACGCTGACGATATGTGCATGATTTGCTTTACGGAGGCTTTATCTGCTGCACCTGCAATTCAGTTACAATGTGGACACGTTTTTCACTTGCATTGCTGTAGACACGTTTTAATGAAACGATGGGTAGGACCTAGAATAACTTTCGGATTCTCTCTTTGTCCAATTTGCAAAGTACCAATGGAACATCCTACATTAACGGACCAATTGGCTAATATAAAAGAACTCTATGAGGATGTTAGGAGAAAGGCCTTAATGCGATTAGAATACGAAGGATTGCACAAGTAAATACGAATTTATACTGAGTATTAAAAAAGAAAAGATACTTCGAGATGTATCTTTAAAGAATAAATAATCGTTATAGGGCCGAACCAACATTTGGATCAGGTGGAAGATACCATCAAGATCCTGCTGCATACGCAATGGACCGCTATGCGTATTATGTTTGTTATAAATGTCAGAAGGCCTACTATGGTGGTGAAGCACGGTGTGATGCACAAGTAGGAGGAGAAACATTTGATCCCACAGAATTAGTATGTGGAGGTTGTAGCGACGTGGCAAGGGCTCAGATGTGTCCGAAGCACGGAGCAGACTTCTTAGAGTATAAATGTCGTTATTGTTGCTCTGTCGCAGTCTTCTTTTGCTTTGGAACTACACACTTCTGTAACCCCTGCCACGACGACTTCCAACGAGTCACCACCATTCCAAAAAGCGAATTGCCTTCGTGTCCTGCAGGTAAATTTCTTTTCTTGTCTTTTCCTTCATTTCATTTTTAACACGAAGTTATCATTTTTGTCAGGACCCAAAGCAAAACAACTCGAAGGGGATGAATGCCCGTTACACGTAAAACATCCACCAACTGGAGAAGAATTTGCACTTGGCTGCGGCATTTGCCGTAATGCACATACTTTCTAAGATTTCTGAATAACTTGATACGGGATAAAGTTCTTTCACGATTTATATCCCGCATGATAAAAGTGGCTCTTGAAACTTTGTTGAATCTTATCGATGCAGTATATTAATATGAATAAGCGGATATATAGTTCGATATAAGCATCCTCACAATTATGAATACATGTCTCTAAGTGCTATGTGTATATTAATTTTTAAGAATTCTTATAATGATCGCAAAAGTGGAATTGATGCAATCTAAAGATGCAAGAGGAATCAAATAGACAAAACTGAATAGCTACAATCATAAGTGAGAATCCGAAGACGCGTGAAACTATAATACTCGTTAAGTATTACGTAAGTCGTTTTTATTGGTAATTTTAGAAATTACTGAAACGCATAGAAGTGACGGATAAACTTGTGCGTGTATTAAACTTCCATGCTAAGCTGAGAAAGCGAGCGTACACGTGCATAAGTTATACAAATTGTAGTAATTTTTTGGTAAAGTATCCTAGGAATAAGCGTTTAAGATGAATATTATATATATATATAATTCTCTACGCTACATAAGAAATATTTAATTATTATCGGCAATGATCCTAATAAATTATGTATGTAGGTAAATTATGTATGTGACAGAAGTGTGTTATTTAAAAATATGAATTAAATTAAGAAGAATATATACATAAAAAAAAAAAAAGAAAAAAAAGAAATCTGAATGAAAAGTTATGGTCTGTGGTAGGATATACATATTGTCGTTCAGTATAGTCACAAACATCATATTTCTCATCTTTTCAATTTCTGTTTGTTTTTATACTTTTCCAAAGGAATAGATCGCATATTATCACAACATTTTTAACGTTATTTATTTGTCAGTGTAATGCCTTGTATTTTGTGGGCTGTTTATGAAGTGATAGAATCATTGTGTATATTCGTATACGAATGAAATGTGTGAACGATAACTGCGTATCAAGTGAAAATTGTTATTATTTGTGTTTCAATTTAGTGCAGATTAAATGCAAGTAATGATTATAAAAGTAGCATTCTTCTATTATTCGCCTCTGATTTCATAACGGCTACGAATTTATCGTTCGAATATGATGGTGATAGGACAATTCGAGAATCAAAATTGGCGCACTTTTCGACTGCCAACTGATCGATCCAAGATGGCGATGAGTAACAGCGCCACGATACGGTAGTTTGTCTTAAGCAGTGCGAGGTGTAACGTGTGTGTGCGCGCGATCCTGACGTTTTTCGCCTTGATCAGCGGTAAGTAGCCTTTATTTACGAGTCGTGCAACAATAGTTATATAATTCCTGAGCCGCGTGAGTTGTGTATACTCGTTCGTTAGATAGTCTTTGGCGGGAAATATGTGTTTTCTGGTGGGAAACGATCGACTAACCGCTCGGTTAGAGATGATCTACGCACGTTCGTGCCACCCTGCTAGCACTGCTGTCAACTCGCTCTGTTTATTTTTACCACGAATTGAAGCCAATTACAAACCGGGTGATAGCTTAATTGAACAAAATTACACGACTTCTCTATTCAAAAGAGAATCTTCCAGTCAGGATTTACAACTATTTACACGTACTGATCGATTCTTTACGAAAGCTTCATAAAAAAAACAACAGATAGTTCATCTGTATACAATCTTCTTATGCTCGTAGATTGCTCCTTTGACTAGCTTCCCACGAATATTTTTCAAAATTAGACTGTCACGGGTTAGAATTACTGCCAAGTTGTCGTCTGCTGTGTCGATACTTAACCTCACTTTGCGCACTTAACACAAGGTACTGTCAAGTTATAGACACTTTTGAGGCTAAGTGGTTCTTCGGATTCTGGTAGTCGATATTATCTATAGAATGCCTTTCCGTTTCGTCGCTTAGTAAGAAACAATAGAACTTTCCCCGAAATTGTGTTGGACGAATATTTCTCTGAAATCGTTCGAAAATATTTATGTTTGTCACCTATACATGTCAAGAGGGCCATAGGATCAGTCGGTATGCGTGAAACTTTAATAGAAACCACTGCGTTCCGTGAATCGTGATGGAAATGAACGTCGCAAGCGTAATTCCTGCGATAAATTATTATTTCGTGCGGTAGGCAACGAGTGCCACAGAGCACGCTTTATTTCGTATGCAAGCCGACCGATGAAAGTGCAATGAGACGAATGCTGTGCGGTTCTGCCCTACGTAGTTTCAGCGTGTACATACGTTTATTATTATACGATCGGACGCGTTCGCGACAAATCAGTCGAGTGTCGTGGCGACCGGCTGGAAGTGCTTGCGACCGTAGCATTCCAATGGGAAATGCGCTTCGCGGGAGTCGTTTAGATTCACATGAAACTGGTTTTAAACACGTGCGTACCACGCGGTCTAATGCATTTCACGCATCTCACGCATTCGAGCGTCGAGCACGCGCCTGTCGCTCACGCTGTGAGTCGTTTTACACACACAATCAACCAACAAAGTACACTTTGTCGGCGACAATGAATGACTCGTTCTTGTCTGCTTCCGTTTTCTCTGGAAGCGCCATTGCTCGTGTCGGTGTGCGAGTTGAACGCCAACCTTGGTATGAAATTATTTCATACTTTATACGTCCATTTTGTATCGTACAATGTACGCGTTCCGTAATCTTTCCCTTCCGTATAATTTATGTACGATTCTTTGAACTTCACGTAGGTAATTATATTCTTCACACTGAAAGTGTTATTTAGGAGTATCACGTTTACAATTCCGATTCAGTTATTCCGATAACCTACGTTTGGTGGAAATCGAATAGTAATACTCGATTGTTGGTGCAACAGTAATTTCTATGATTACTGCGCAACTTAGGGCTCCAATCGTGATTGAAGTTATCATCGGTATCTTGGAAAACCAGTTTCAGGAAGAGATCGTCATGTTCCGTTATTTTTACCGAACCGCATTGCACCTGGACTATATGATATGACCAATACTCGTACGACGTGTCAAAGGTTCACGTAAATCTTCAATTTCGATTAAAATCGCCGACCATTATTAAATTTGGGTGTTATTAAATATGTCCCCCTTGGACATGAAATTCAGCTGAGTATTACCATTAGTACTTATCGAATGTATTTTCCTGGATATTTTATGATAATTGCACGTATACAAAATTTACAAATTTTTTTATTTTAATAAACTCTGCTATATTATTGGTAATTTTTTTCATATCGACAGTCAGAAATATTTTTTTTTTATTTTTTCCAGTTTTTCTACGTGCAATGAAAAATGTTTCATGTACTTGCGTAATACTCGAGCAAAGAGGCAAGTGTAATTATTCCTTAATTAACCTAAATTATCAAACTTACACGTGCTAGAAAACCATGTCAGGTTCGTCAGCATTTCGTAGATCAAACTCCGGCACTAAAATTAGTCTGCTACAATTCTAAACGTGAACACTCTCTTCGCACATAACGTTTCACACGTATCGTTCTCACCTTCGAGATTAAAGTCCATCTCAATTAACTTACTATATTCCATTAAGGCTTCGCAGCCTAAATCTACGAGCCTGTGTTCTCGTCCAGCCTCGTTTATATACCGTGCTTGGAGTAGACAAACATTTTCCCCCCCTCTCTCTCTCTCTCGTACAATTTTCTCCACGTTTCTAATTAGAATTTCCCGTGACCCGATTTCACGTGATCGAATCACCCACGAAATTCTCCGTTCGCCTAATAACGTCGAACCTTCGTTTGCGAATCAATCGCCCCCCTCGATTGACGCCCTTAATTAACGATCCTGCAACTGTCACGAATTTGATTCGTCGAGAGAGGGCACGTACCGCGGATTCGAAAGTGTCGCCACCATGTCTAAATTTTTATCGCGAACCCGCCTTTTTCTAGCATCTTCTATTACAGTATTGAAGACACGCCATTAACCTATCGGTAGACATTTTGGACGCGTTTATCGGTCACGTGACGTGCGCGAGAATAAAGTGCCGAAGAAAGTTTTTGCGTCTCGAAAGTAGTGAACTTTTTCCCGTGCAAATTTCGGAATATTCCCGTTGCAAGGAAAGAGAAGGAAGAGGAAAAGAACGAGCAGTTTCGGCGGCCGAATATCAATGGGGAACGGACTCGATGAAATGACTTTCGATCCCGAATTAATTCCGTCCTCGGCTCGGCGGAGAGAAACTCACGGATTTGGTTAACGGATTCGGCAGATATATCGGTAGGTTATACGAGGGCTCGGATTGAAGCCGTATCATTCGTCGGGATCGCAGACGTGTATTTAAATCTCGAGTTTCATCGTATTCAGACTGTGACAGCGCACTGTATATTGTAATTGCGTTAAAGCTCCGTCAACGCGTGCGCTCTCATTACTGAAATTAACGGCGTTTTAATTGCGGCTCGGAGGTATTTAAGGTTAGCGTCCGTCGGTCTGGTCTCCTTCCGATCAGCTTAATTGCCCTTTTCAGCCGTACTTTCCACTCAATCTCTCGACTCAAGTGCGTGGCAAGCGGGATTGCAACGTTCGCTTGGAAAAATCGAGATTTTTATCCCAAGATGGCGCGAACGTCGGAAATTCGAAACCCGATGCGTAATTACCCCATTTTCCGAAGACATCGAGCCAAACGATCCGTGATCCCCCGCGCGTTAAACCTCGAGCGTGAAGGGTGGGGGTAGCGCGAATCTCGCGGTATTTTTGCGTTTAGTGCCACCTGGAACCGGTTGCAGGCGACAAATGACGCCATTCGTGTGCCGCGATCGTGACCCGCGGACGTGTCCCGGGCATCTGAGTGGGCCGCTCGGCAAGATCAAGGCCGGATCGCGGTGAAACTTGGGCCATCGGGCGTAAAATTGGACAGACGGGGACCGGCGCGGCGTGGAGCGTGTGCGCGCTGGCGGCCAGACAGAGAGAGAAAGCCCAGATTCGCTCACGCGTGCACACAGGTGCGTGGAGCCAAGGTGAATGCGCCTTGAACGCCGCGGAGCACCTTCAGTCGTATCTTCTTCCTCTTCCCATCAACACTGCAGACGGTGCATCGGCGGGTCTGCGCGCTCGCGTGCCGCGTTCCCGAGACGTTCGTCCGCTCCACGGATCCCTGTTTGATCGACTCAGGCACCGGGAATCGCTCCAGTCTACCGAGCCAGCCGGAAGAGGAAAATCGCGGGGATCTCGCGTGGCGAACCGGACACGCGTGATTCAGCTTCGACTTGGCGGCTGCGTGATCGTTTTATATTCAAAGGGTTGGGGGCTTTTTGTTCACCGCGTTGAAATGTTCGCGTGACTGGAAGAATGTGGACGAATGCGTGGCGAACGGAGAACACTGGACTATGTTGACAGCAGCGTAGAGTGGACTTGGTTCTGCGTTTATTCCTACGAGACGGCTGTCTCGGCTCGTTAGACGCCCCCCGGTGAAGTGCGTGGCTTGTAACTGACCTAGGGTCGCCTGGCCCGATGAATATCGGGGCGACGAGTCGATCCGTTGGTACGCTCGCATTAGCCTACCTCTCTGTTAATTAACGGCGTCGTTAGCCCTTTGCCTTTGCACTCGCCACGGCTACGCCAACTTCCGTGTAAACTTGTCTCGAAAATGATGATTGATAACGCCAGCTCTGCCCGGTGTTTGCGTTGCGAATCGCGAGATAATTGAAAAGCGGACAGAAAGCCCGTCGAATGTTCCTTTTTCTCTTTCACCGTGCCTCTGATTGATCTACGGAACCGAGTCCCATTCTGCCAGTGATAGTGGTTACTGTTCGCCAATGTAACGGGTCGGACAGGATTTTCGAAATAGAAACACTTGGTCAGCGGCGAGATATGGGAGAGAAGCTTTACCATGGTCGTCGTGGCTTCGTCGGCGATTACCGTGATTGAGGACTTTTCCAAAGACACCTTGGGAAGGTATGTTGTAGCCCCATCTACTATACCTCGTTTTATTACCCACGAATATTCCACTCCGGAACTGTATTCCGTTTTCCCTTCATAGCGTTTAAGTACCCCATAAACCGGTCGTTTCATGCTGACCGTTAACCCTTTTCAACGCCACTTCCAAGTTACCTTGCTTGTTTAAATGCCTTTTATTTACCTTCTATTTTTATCGCTGTGCATCCCCATCTTTGTATAAATTTTCCCTAAAGAATCCAGGGGAAATTGTAATAATCTCTTGGACACAAACGTTTACTATAGTTACTTCTTCTCGATACTGTTATAAACACGTAGACGACACTATTGTTACGTTACAGGACCGTAACACCCAATTTTTAGCCCAGGGTTAACCCTTTGCACTCTTTATCTAGCTTTCGGATTCTT